TTATATTGTTATTTACTAATTGGTGTCAGCATGGATGGTCTGATCTCAACTTTTTCATTTCCTTTATAAATTTCATTGAGATAACCCCCTGGAAACCATTTCTATTTAATTTTGTCCGAAAGACGGAGGCTGAGAGAGACTGGTACTTACTAGTACACCACAACCATATGTTCCCTGGCAATGTTACTAGGTCATGCACTGGAGGATCTTAAAAGAAAAGCATCTAACGTTTGCTCGCAGATTTGTGCATCATGCTGTCCCAGCTGTGTCCCCAATGTAAAGAAAGACAGGAGTATGACCTTTATGTATGTGGAGAAAGTTAGAAGTGCCTAGAAGCATGGAAGAGTGCATGCAGTGAGGGTGCGGATAGGGAATGGGGCACGCGAGCACCTGCCCGCACTAACGCCTAACAGCGTTGCTCCGGATCACGTTTGCTCCCAAGGAGGTGGGGTCTGATGGATGGGTCGCCCTGCACTCTCTGACCCTGTGTGTTTTCCTGCCGGGGAAACACAGCCAGGTACGTTGGATGTGTTTGGGTGCGTTTTCTAGATCAGTGCTCTGCGGGCCACGCTTCGCTGCAGGCATTGTGCAGTTGTTTGCATGTTGCTCTAGTAGCTCCATCGCGGGCTCTGGGCTGGGCTGTGGGAGAAGATTGCTCTGTGCTCGCTCATCAATGTGTGGTATGGGTTGCTGAGTGCATTTCAAGGTCTGTAAAGCTTTCTTTTTATTTATTATTTTTTCCCCTGCTTCTGCTTGTTGCAAAATCTGCTTCATCTTCACATATCATTAGCCTTATGGAGTACAAAGGAAAATGCCCACTGTCACCAGAAGAGGTAAGATGCTCCTAGGCAGAGCATGAAGGCCATACTGGACCGATCCAGTCCTAGATGCAGCCTGCCCCGTTCAGGTCCCTGTGCAGTGGTCAGCCCCTGAGGTGAGAGAAAACAATAAGCAGGACGTGTGGTCAACATCTTCATCGGCGCATCTCATGGGATTCCAAATGGGAAAGGAAGGCTCATGGCACTTGCCTCCAGATTTTGCAAAGCTGAGTGGAATCTGTCTCTTAAAGCTCCGAATTTCTGATATTTGGTGAAGCCTGGGGTAGACACAGCGAGTTCCTGGGAGCAGAGCGCTGGGAGGCCGCGGCTTGATGCAAGCAGATGTTATGTGCCACCGGCCGCCTGGCCAGCCGCCGGGGACTCTGCAGCACGCAACGAGTCCATCCTGCCGGAGGACGTAAGCCCTGTGCGCCTGTGCCGTGTGTGCATGACCCAGGAGCAACATTCACGCTGCCAGGACATCCATCAGGGGCAATTTTTTATGAAGAAAAATAAAACAATAGCCCAGTGTTTTCTTTGGAATTTCTAGGCGCACAGTACAGCAGCACAAGCCAGGGCTGGCAGCGAGGGCTGCCTGCTCACCCTTCTCCCCAGCAGCAGCCTGAGTCACGGCTGTGGTCACAGACAGTGACACAATGCCATTGTCATCCAAGGAATGCTGTGTTTTCCTGCTCTGCAGAAATATTTTGTACAGTGCATTTTTTCCTGTGCTCTCCAGAGGAGATACTGTCCGGATCCTTGCTGTAAATCCACCCCCCGGAGTGCTGCTGACTAATGCTCCCGTTTCGCTCCTCGCGCGCTCCCAAGGTCCCGGCCGTATTTACACTGGGCACACGGCGCTCGGAGTCAAGGCTGGCGGATGGATTTCCTCGGAGCAGCACGTGCGCGGAGCAGCGCGGAGGGCTGAGGGCGAAGGCCGTGCCGCCGGAGCCAGCGCAGGGCAGGGGTCTGGCCCGGAGCACCCATGGCCACGCGCAGGCAGCGCAGCCGCAGCCATTCCGGAGGGAGAAGTCAGCCCTCGTATTCCGGATACAGGGCAGCCCGAGGCTCGGGGGGTGACCGCTAAGCACAGTCTGTCACCATGCAGCCTTGCTAGCACCTAACTCCCCCTAAAGCCCCCTTCCCTCTCCAGCCGTGCTCCTGTCCTCCGTGCTTGGCTCTCCCCGCTGCAGCCTCGGGACCGTGACAGACCTGCCAGCTTGACTTAGCTCAAACGTGAACTTGCAGTTATTTACTGACGCCACAACCCTTGTGTCTGGCTTGTGCTGCGCTCCAGACAGAGGAGCAATGAGTGAGCTGGGTCGCTTGTGTTCTCTGCTGTATGGTTACAAGGGGATTCAAAAACCAAATAGCCTTGGGAATAAATAGGGGAAATAAATCCAAAGGCAAATCTCAGGAGGTGCACAAAGCCCACGAATCATACATGTGTTTATGTGACTTATGGACAGACCATGAGGCTGAAGGATTTTCACCGATGAAATCTTTGATCCCCTTATTAACACTGAGGGCTTTGGGGATTTGGTGCACAGGGAAAAGCTTGTCCCTGGGGTGAGAGGAGTCCTGGTCTTGCTGGAGGTGGGGCTATGTGATGGGAAGGGGTGTAGTGTAGCCGTGGTGTTCCTGCACATGTTGTGGTAGGGGGATTCCTGCAGGGATGGACAACTTGGCCGTTTGCTCCATGTTTCCCTACATGTAAGACAGATGGTTGCAGCCAAGGCATACTGGCTATCATGGCTGCTCCTTATTATGTAGCTGTGTCGTTTATTTTTGTGGTAGTTGTGTTTGTGAAATAAATTATTTCAAAAAAAAAAAAAAAAAAAGGAATGACTCATTTTGCAGAATTGGATTTTGAGTTTCTTCAGCCACGTTTAAACTGGGAGAAGAGGAAGAGAGCACATTACTCAGTCCATAATGATGTGCATGAAGCGGATTTCCTCCCAAACAGAACATTTTTGTGCATCACTGCGAGGGCAGCCAGGCTGCATCTGAGCAGCCATCCTCATGTAAACGTGTTGGATCCTAATGAGCTCCAGCCTTCAACGGAAGGTGAAAATCCTGCACGTGCACGTAGGCAGTTGTGAAAGAGCGGATGTTTTGGAGCAGATAGGTGATGCAGAGGACTTCCTTCCTCCACACAGAAGGCAATTTATTTGTATCCTGATTACAAATTATGAGGGTTCGAAGATTGCAAGGTCAGAAGGGACCATTATAATTACGTCCTCTGACCTTCCCAAATGGCGCAATCAGAGTTGCACTGTGATTCCTGTGCTGAGGCAAACACTTTGTGGCTGAAAGACAGCAAGTCTTGCCTTGAAGACACAGAGAGTTGTCCGTCGTTCACTCCTGGCCCATGAGATCATTCCAATTCCAAAGCATAATCTTTTTGATTAATCCTTTTGATCATCTCATTTCTAGTTCGCATTTTGCCAACAGGCTCTTTGATTTCTAATCGCCAGTTCCACCTGTCAGGCAATCAACACTGGAAATGGACCATGCAGCCCTCCATTCACACTGCTCCTTCCCACCTCATGGCTAAAACACTGCTTGGGATGAAAGAGGAGAGCCTGCTCAGGAAACCAGGGAAGACTTGTGGACAGGGGCTGTCTCCTATCGTCACAGAGAGATCCTTCACGAGCCTAAAGACCCTCTCAGACTTTGACCTCTCTGCGATTCAAAGACAACAACAGTATCCAGCCTTCTTCACAGTTTAAATACTGATGCTGAGAAACTCCCTGGAGGCCTCAGGCCATGGAGATCTGTATCACTGGCAAGGCACGCCAATCCTCAATATAACTGCAATCCATCCTGCTCCGCGATTCCTCACATCTGAGTTTGGCAGCCACGCTTCGGAGTTCATACAAGTAACTCCAAACTGGTTTTGAGAATATTAATAAAGCCGCTTACCACCCTGGAAGACGAATATGTGTCATTATTAATTACCCTGCTTCTCGTGTATATCGTGGCAGGGCCCAGAGGTCCCTGGTCAGGCGTGTGGGCCCCGTTGCCTCCTTGAACGTATGGTGCAAAGACCATCATTGGAGATGACCAAAGATACTGGCTGCGGAAGGAGACCAGAGAGGTGCCTTGCAGGGTAACAGCAGCACAAGTTCTTATCATCTAGGTACTCCGGAAATCAAAGAATATGCGAGCAAGTCTGTGACCAAAGGTGAGTGCTGAAGCCAACCACAAAGCCCTTCCTCGGCCTCCCTGGTAGCCAGGCGTGGTGACATTTCCTGTGTTATCATCTTTGTGCCTTTGCTGCACGAGGAAGATCAGAGGCATGGTTTCAAATCTTAACTTTAGGCTTGTGAGGCTGGTTTTGGTGCCTGCAAAGCACAAAACCCGTGCAGTTTCCTCTCTCACAGGTGTTCCTCATGTCTGACCCCACACAGCGGGACTTGCAAGTCAGGATGAGGAACTTGATTGGAAGGAGCTGGAGACCTTCCAGGCACCGTTATTGCATTCACATGGCACATCTATAAAGCAGCCTATCTCGCCCTCCCTGGAGCTAACGGCAGAGCTGGCTGCGAGTGGGGCTAAAGGGCCCTTCCAAAGCTGCATGGCAGGGCTGGGGGCACTGCAAAGCCAGCCCACAGAGGTGACTCGTGTTGAAGTTCAGGCTGCAGCACCAGTGTGGGGCTTTGCTGCAAGGTAGGATGTGGACGCGTGCATGGGACGTGCAGGGATTTACCAAAGGACATGCAGGGATTTACCAGGGATTTACCAAGGGGGGCCCTGGTGCTTGCACCGTGCCCGGGGATCCTGTGGCCTTGCCCTGCCTTGGGAGGATGCCCATTGCCCTGTTGGGGCAGGGTGGCAGGGCAGGGGCAGCCTCGTCCCCGCACCGTGACCCACCTAGAGCAGGTCCCGAACACGTCGCAGCTCTGGGGCAGCTGCTGCCTGCGGCTTGGGTGACCAGCAAGATAGTAATTCCCCTGGTGATGCAATGCAATATTTCCAATATTCCAAATGTTGCCAATGCAATATGTCACCATGAAGATAAAACAAGGTGGAAAGAAGAAGACAGCCCAAATCAGCCACTGCCCCAGGCTGAGTTGGTGACGGGGGGTGAGGAGAGAGCGACAGGACCAGGGCAGGGGTCTGCGGCCAGCACTCCCGCATCGCCCTGCGGAGCAGCCGCTGCGGGACGCGCGGTGACGTCCCCGGGTGTCCCGCGGCTCCGCTGCCTCCACGTTCCCGGCCGCTGCGCGGAGCCCTGGCCGGACACGGTGAGCGCTAACCACGGGCTGCCGGCGAGGCCGCCCTGTTTTTCCTCCGTTCTCCTTCGCGTGCTAGTGCCTGGAAAACAGGATGGCGATGTTTTCCTGCTGCGCATTCACCAAGACTAAACAAAGGAGGTTGCATTTCCAGGTCTCCCCCTAAGCTTCTGAGATCTGCAGGGCTTTCAGGAATTGCTGGGGAGGGCAGTGGGGGGTGCGTTCAAAGACCTGGCCCCTGTTTGGCTGCAGATTTGAGCAGAAAGCCTCCAGTATCACACGAGGGGGAAGGATTTCCATTTTTCCTCTTGGGAAAAATGCATTTCCAAGGAAAGGAAATATTCTAGCAGTTTTCTCTGCAATACCTGCCTAGCTTGCTGCAGCTGTGGTGTTTTGCTTTCACTTAGATTTATTACTCATAGTTTCTTAGGATCTGATTAGACTTAAGGCCAACTACGTAGGTGCCTTATGGTGCAGTATGAAAGAGAAACCCAGCCTTTACACTCTTAACATGGAGAAAAGAATGTAGTGTGACCATCAGTGCCACCCAGGCAAGGTAGATAGCACATTATTGCTGCAGAACCTGAGATGAGTCCAACTGCAAACTCTGCCCCTGCAAGCTTGAAAACCCAGGTGTTTTTTTCAACCTTTTGCAATGCATTCTCCCCACCCCCAGTTTCAATTATATCTCATATTTTTTTCTGCATTTTATCTATGATGCATATTAAATGGGGCTTTTTGAATTTAAATTGCTGCAGATTTTCCAAATCTGACCTGCACAGAATATGTCCTATTTGGTGCATATACAGTATGTGCAGGACTTTTGGAAGGTATAAGTGGAAATCCCAATTTTGAATGATTTTATGAAACCTAACCCTATGTGTGTAATTTCTGCAGGCACACTGGCTACATGAATAGATTTGCCCATCACGGGACCCACAGAAGGAGTCAGAAGGAGCAGAGGCAGAAAACAGAGAAGAGTTGAAGTGAGAAAGGCCGTGGGGAAAGGCTGCGTGGGAGCTGGGATTGCTGCCGAGCTCTTCACATAGATCTGCATTAAGAACACCTCATCTCAGTGAAGTCTTTGTGGGGAAAGGTTTTGTTTTCCAGCTACAGGATTCCTTAGCCTTCCAAGCTATTCTCATTTATAGGGCAGTTCTGTGGCTGGTTGTGGAGATGGGAAAGACAGAGGCTCAAACCTCTTCCTGGTGTTAAACTGGGAATACCAGCAGGGCTAATCTCGTCCTAGGGAAGCAATGAGCACGAGGCAGATCCCTATTTTGCAGCTGTGCTATTCCTGGTAGGAATCTCACCCCAGATCTGAGATGAGAGCACAACAGTTTATGCAAAACTTTCAGTCTGGTTTATATAGGAGGATTTTGCTCTCCTTTAAAAATCTTTTCATGAAAACTCTTAGAAGAGTCTCGGGGTATCATGGAGTAGAATTACTATATATATATTTATATATATATGTATTTTAATCACTGCTATCTGCATGGTGTGGGGAGAATGCTGGTGAATTCCCCAATAGTTCTGTGTTTTTATGTCCTCATAAAGGAAAGGCGCCCAACTTGCTGGGCTGAACATGGTAGCAGGCCAGGTTAGCCACAAACAAATGGGTTCAGTTGGCTCTGCATAACGGTCTTGTTTTCATCACTACATTGTATCTCCAGCATTGGCCTTGGATGTTCTGTCCTTAGGATACCAAGAATCTGCAGAACTGTCTCCCACCCCCCAGCATAATCTCACTGAATTAAGGCCTGAAACCTTATTATAGCTCATAAGATAAGAGGATAGTTTACAAGATGAGAGTAACCTTGAAAACAGGGGTTTCAAAATCCACAATGCAAGGGCCTGAGTTCTGAGCACTGAGAAATCCAGCTGGGTTACTTCATTTTCCGTTATGATGCTTAGCACTGTTATCCACATTCATTGTCATATAGCAACTTCACTACAGTAGGGACCTAAGAAAACAGTATTACCAAGAAAAATGGGAAGGGCTGAAAGGAAATAGTTTGCATATGTATTTTTATATGTGAATGACTCAAGAAATAAAATGTAATATTTATAATAATATCTGCAAGATCTTGAGGCAGGAATGGTATCTCAGGAGCACACTTCTTGTCCAAAAAGAAAAATACGTGTCCTATTGAGCACTGGAACACCACAAACCACGGGTTTGGCCAGAAGCAAAGCCACAGAGCACCTGTGCTGGAGCCAAGCAGAAGCATCCGGGAAAGCAAGTAGGGGTTCACAGAGGGAATAAAAAACCTCACCTGGCTTTAGAAACCAAACACAATCCCAGACTTCCCCCCCACCCCGTGCATTTCTCAACAAAACTTGTAAATTATAGTTTTTAAATAAGTTATGAATGAACAAAAACTTGCAAAAGTGCCTGAGGGTTGGCAAGAAAGCACGTGCTGTCATGATTAGAGCACTCCGATAACATGCTAATTACATAACACCCTAGGAATTTGGCAGCCCTGATCTAGAAACAAGGCAAATCATCATGTTTCTCCCCCACTCCCTATACTTACCCAAATCAGTATATGCTTCATATTTTCCTTGTTTGAAAATTTAATTTTCAAGCCCCTCCAGACAGCTCTGTAACCTGGCAAAAGTGAGAACCGAATTTTTATTTATCATATCTCAACTCATTAAAAAAAAAGAATAAACTAAAAAAAAAAGTGCACTAGTTTGAATCGGTGTTCAAGAAGAGCCTAAAAATAATGTAAGCTGGTATTAGGGTTGGCTGGCCCCACTTTGCCTCTGCGTAAGGATCTGGCCTGGAATAATTTAACATTCATTATAAGAATTCGGCACTTCATAAACATGAGGATATTTGTTCCATGTCACTCTGGTTTAGCAGGAAAGCAGTTTTCCTACATGTTGGAGAGCAACATCAGGGCTTCCTGAGCTGGTGTAAAGAGCTGTCAGATCCTTCAAGCATGCTCCAGTTCACTTCCCTCTAACAACCTGGGACAGCTCTGTGCTTTCGCATTCCCACAACTCTGCTCTGGACAAAGGCAAAATAAACTGCCTTGAAACGCTCAGAAGTCAGTTTTGTGTTGGAAGTGAAGCCAACACTTTCAGGAATGTCAGAGTATATTCCTATGAATGTAAGTGGTGACTTATATTTGTAGTGGTGACTTATATTGGTGGAGAAAAGGTGCAGGAAGGAGCATTACTTCTTGTGTGGAGACGTTATTACAGTCAAATCTTAGAGGTGATTATCAAACAAACCGTATATGTATAAAAAAAGCCAAGAATTTATTGTTGATATAATGGAAATTTTAACAATCTGATTCAAGAATTTGCATTAATCTAGATCCAACTCCTACAGGGAAAAAAAAAAGAGAGAAGAAAACAATAGGAATGCAGATAGAGTAGTTATATGTGGAAAAAGTCACAATAATAGTAACAATATAATTAAAATTACAACACACATGCACCTTAGTTTCTATCTCTCTCTTGGAGCTACGCTCACCCTTCCATTGTTGTCCTAAAGCCAGTAGCTTTGGTCTGCTGAGGGAGATCGTACTGTAAATTGTCATCTTCTGTAGACCTTTGTCAGAAGGAACATGATGTTGATGTTGCTGGCTTCTTCTCCCTCTTTCTATGATCTACTTAGGGTCATTTTTATATGTTTTCTAACGTTTTCACCTCTCTCTTTCTTCCTTGATCTGCAGCTCTAGGTTGCATTCACATCTACTGCATGTGGTGCCTTTTAGGTAAGTTAGATGCCATTTCTTTGTTCTCTTTGTCACACGTAAAGCCAGTTCCATCCACCTCCAGGACTTTTTATTATTATTATTTTAAACTAACCTTTATGAGGATTTTTGTCTGCAGCAGCAGCAGTCTCCATTGCCAAGCCTGTGCCCCGTCTCTTACCAGCCCGTGCCCGCATTCCTCTGCGCTGCATTCACTGGCTCCGCTGCTCAGGGCCTCTGAGCTTGCTATTTCTCTTGGTACCAGCTCGGTATATCGCTATATTACATCATTACATTAGAGTCATAAATATCTCATTCTACCAAGAATAACTGCGTGTTACTGCTGTCTAAATAAAACTATGGTTGCACCACACAAAGATAAACATAAATAAAACAAATTAACCATAGACACCTGGTCAATTAGAGAAATTGCTGTCACAGCTAAACCAAGTGAAAACAAATTTACGGGCAGGTCAAGAAAAGTTCAGGCAGAGGAGCAGGCCCCAAACCTCCAGAGGCCTTGCAAACTCGGTGCAAAGCCCATGGCTTGCAGCACAGTCTGTAGCCACAGCAATGCTATCTCGCAGGGTTGCAAGGTCATAGTGGGCAGAATGCCAATGCAGAAATATTGAGGAGAGGTGAAGAGGTTTCAACGCTTCAGCATTAAAACCTCTGCTGGTGCTGGTTCTCCTTGGTGGAGAACACCCTTGTGAAGGCTCAGAGGTGAGTGCATGTGGTGAATGAAGGGCCACTTTACTCTTCATTCAAACTTTAGAGAAGTAAACATCTCCATTCTAAAGTGTCCCTGGGTCTCTGTCTGCCCATGCAACAGGGTTTATTTACAAGGAAAGGGAGGCCTTTCTAACAAAATATATATTTTGTATGAGAAAATGCCTCCTTCTTTGAAAAAGAAAATTTCTTAAAAAAATGGAGGTGGGGGAGCTATTTGGCTGGATGAGACTGGGGCTTCACTTTACAGGAGTCTTTGAAAAGTTATAGTAGTTACTGTTGGGAGGTCAGGACACCACTCTTGTTATGGGCATTATTGCCTTTGTGACTGTTATTTCCATATAAAAACATAAGCTTAGAGCAGGATTCTTGGTTCCACCTTTAAAGATGATTCAAATCCACTGTGAAATAGGGCTTTGCACATCAGAGACTTTGCCACCTGGATCACGGTGGCATCAAGTCCCTGGAACAAGTAGGCTGAATATCCTGTCTGCAATGAAACTCAGGCACAAGCAAAATTCCCCATATGCTGGCTTCACTGGGGAGCACTTCGTGTCACCTGAATCTCCGTCTGCTGCCGCAGAGTGACATCTGTTCAATGCAGGCATCTGCTCCATGGATCTCCATGGCAGGCACGGGGGATCCACCCATGGCATTGGGGCAGATTGGGATCAAGGGATGATTTTCTCCAGTGGAAGAATATTTTCCAACTATGAAGGAATGCTCATCCAAACTGCATAGCTGAGGAGTCCATCATGTGACATAAGATTTGGGAAGTTTCTTGCCCAAACAGACAGCACAGGGTATGCTAAGGGTGTGAGGGTCCCGGGAATTATTTGCAGTTAAATGAATGTATTCTCACGCACAACCTCTTCTTCAGTGGGCTTTGGTTCAAGACTCTCCATCATCTTTGCATCATCTCTGAATGAGAGCCAAGCAAAGCAAGCAAGGCCCATGTTGCTTTTGCAGAAGTCAGTCCTGTAACCAGCACCTGGTGATAACGATGTTTGCGTCTACATGGGAAGTTAATCTGCCCTCAGACTCCAAAGAAGTACCTTGAAAAGCTTGGCATCCAAATGGAGAAATAAGTAATGCTCCTATAGCTTGGACTACCCCAGCATTGCTGAGCTAGAAGATTTCTGGTGCCATCAGTCAGTCCATCTTCCCACTAGGATCTCGGTGTCAAAATATAGCAAAACCCTTAATCCCCTGTGACTTTTCCGTTCCTGAAGGCAGAGGAGTGGAGCTGTTCCGTGGAAAGCCGGTGCTCAATGCAGCAGCTGGGTCCTGTGTGCGGAGGCAGGTTAGGGGCTGGCCTTGCAGCTCCCTTCCCAGTGCAGAGGATTCCACTCATACTTCCAGACTGAGAAATGTGTGCAGGGTTTACCTTAGTTTTCTGTGAACATTCACCTGGGGGCTGGGACCAAGCGCAGCTCCCTGACATCTATCCCGGGGCAGCAGACGAGTCACGGAAGGGAACGCCTAATGGCATTATAAGGAAATGCTTTGTCACCTTCACCAATTCTCACAAACATCCTTCCTTATCACAGAAGATCATTTATAGAGTATTTTAAGTGTACACAGTGTCTTAAAACCCAATTAGAGACACAACCCTGCCCTGAAGAACCCAAAGTCTAGTCACAGTTTAGTGCATTAACGTTAAACCAGCTGGTGAGCTGTTGCTGAGAGATGCTAATGGCAAACAAGTCTCAAGGATTTTCAGGTAGGCTCTGGCCAGCTCTTGGTGACACTGCTATAGGCCGTGTTAGTGCCCTGTGTGTGGTGGGGTAAAGGTCCCTCATGCAAGATAGATCAGTCTGCACCAACCACCAGGCAAGAAGAAGAGGGATCTGGTGCAGTGAAGGCTCAGGTGCTCGAGCAGCATCCAGAGAGCTGGAGTGGGGAGGAAGGAGCGGGTTGCAGAGGGGTTGGGGAGAGCTGGAGCTTACTGGAGAGACAGGTGGAGCTCAGCAAGGAGAGAGGACACCAGCAGCGCCCAGTGCTGAGTCGTCAGCCTCTCTGCTGCGTGGAGCAGGTCTGTGCTACGGGGATAACCCGGCGTGGTTTGCTGCTCGTTCACTAGAGGTGCCCAACACGCTTCAGGGCCAGGCATCTCTCTCCAAGTATTCAACCTTGAAGGTGCCCAGATGCATTTTAGCCAGCAATTTCTGTGACTAATCTTGTGGGGTGAAAATGCCTTTACTGCTTAAGGAAACCGTACTGTGAAGCACAGTCTATCAGTATATGTGTGTACAGGTGTAGGAAGCAATGCACCAGAACAGCAGCAACATTTTCATCCGCTCCTGAAAAAAGAAAGCAGCAAACCCTGGTCTAGAGCCCAAGAGCCCAAGCACAGTCTTCTTGGCCACAATTTTGCTTTGGCTGCCTGGTGAGACGGAGGGCTGAGCTCGCACTGCAGCCCAAGCCCTTTGCACTACTTCCCTAAACGGCACGTTGGGCGAGAGCAAAATTCAGAGCATTCATCAAAACTGTCCGTTTAAATACATGGGAGAGGTTGCGATTGCTATCTGGGCACGCTCGTCAGGTGCAGGCATCTCAAGACAGATACCAGCGGAGACTTCCTGGTAAATTGCAGCATCACAGAGGAGTCTGCAGCTACTTGTACCCAGCCATCATCGGAGCAAAGAACGTTCCGATTCCTGGCTGGTGCTTGAGCTGATAATTGCTCAGAAAAATTAAGGGTTGGGTAATTCCTCCTGAAATTAATTACCTTGCTAAGACGCCGCAGGGCAGCTACCACAAGAAGGTTTGAAGTAGATGATATAACCATTTCCCTCCTCAAGATTAAAACCAGGAAACAGGTCGCAAAAGTCCACCTTTGTGGTAAGTGGCTTTTAACTTGCTAGGCTTCCCTTCTCTGGCAAACTTTCCGACCTCATTTGAGTGTTCCTGAAATGCATATGAAATTCCTAGGAAAATGTAAACATTTGTGGACACTTGTAGTTCTCTGCCTGATTTGGCACGAGTCAACACTCTCAACTCACAACTCAACCCTCTTCAGTAACTTTGTCAGTTCATTTTAATATCCTTTTTTACTAAGCGGCTATTGCTATTTGCAAACGTGTCTTTATTCTGTAAATTTATCTGTGGATTTATTTTTAAAACTGAAGATTGATGCAACATATAAGGTAATTCTTAGCCTCTCCATCACAAAAGGGTCTATTTCAAAGCAGAGACAGAGCTGCTAGCACCAGAGCTGAGTGTTTGGCATGTCTGTGTTCAACACAGCTGATCAGGAGATAAGCAGCTCTGCACAAAAGAGGATGCCGCTTAATGAGCTTGTATCTCGGTGTCAAAGTAGGGTATTCCTGGTGGATCTGTTGAGTCTCATGGAACTGATTGCTCCGGTGAGTGTAGGACAGGTGAAAGTGTGACCCTGCCCTCTTGAATGGTACATATAAACCCTCTTTCACTAACACAGGAACACTGAAATAGTCCTATGAGAAGGAGGTTTCTCTGCAGCCCCTCCAGGCCTCCTCCTTGGCATCACTCCCAGCTGTACAGCCAACACGTGTCACCACAGTGAGTGTTCTAAGCTCTTCTTCTGAGGATCTGAAACCAGATTGTCAGCAATTCCGCATCTTCCCATGGTTCTTCTCTTCCATCCCTGCCCTCTCAGTGCCCCAAGATTTGGGAGGAAGGCAGGGATGCCCGTATTTGCTGCACAGGTGCATAATTTGTGCATAATTAGCACAGCTGACCCCCATGGCAAATCACTCCCTCTTTGGGCTGTTTCAAATAAATTTGGGTTGCAGGAAAGATGTTTATGGCAGAGTCTTTTTTTTTCACCTCCTCTTCCTTTTGCCATTAACTTCCTTTGTGGCCTCAGGTAAGTCACTTGATCTCAGAGCTGGAGATCTAAAGCATGAATTAGGAGTCTAAAGATTGGATTATGTGAGACTTTTGGTCTCAGCAGCATGTCAAGGTTAGTAAAATGTTATGATGTACTTTATTAATTGCAAAGATGAGTAGTTATTGAGATGTGGCAGGTGACAAGAGTGTATGACTTCCTCACTTATTCAGTATCCATAAGGAGGATACAGACTCTTCATCAGGATAATGCCACAACTCCCTCTTCAGGTTCCTATTTCTACTTCTGAAAAAACACAGTCTCCCAGAAAAATGTCATTCATGCCAAGAAATAATGTCTGCAGACTTGGTCTTTCATAAAAATAAATAAATAAACAGTAACTGAGTGACCTCCCAAATCTGGGATCTTTCATGGAGAAAGTCTACCTGAAGAAGGCATCTTTCAGGACAAAGTGCAGGAAAAACGGGAAGGTAGATGCTCTTTGTCATCGAGAACTCGTGCAATAAACAGGTTTGGTCTCACCTTTGCCTGTCTTGCATGCAGCCCTTATGCCTCTTTCTATAAGACTTACTCCTTTCCAGAACTCGAACCAGCTCCTCATACTGGAGCTATTATCTATTTTGCCATGTGGTCAATGTGTCTCCTTCTTCCCTCTTTTGTTCTTTTGAATGAAGTTTTACTCTCACGGGGTGAGAGGCTGCGTCCTGGCGTGCTTGCCTGTGAGTCAGAACTCAGTCAATGTCTTCTGGATGTGAAACGAGACTGCGATGGTCTACGGCCTCTGAAGACCCCTGGCTATGTATCTTTTATGTAAGACGGGTGCTAAGTTAACATTATCCCGAATTCCAGCAGAGGTTACCATGCTTTTCTAACAATTCTGTCTGAAGACTTCACTGGGAGCTTGGGCCAGGTCACACATTTGAATTGCCAGCACGGAGCAGTTGGTCAGGAAAAGATGTTCTGTTGCTTTTTTGTTCTGCCCCTCTCTCTTTAAATGAGTGAGAAATCTGGCTGCAGATCTATTGGTCTCTGCCTTCACTGCAGATTATCTCTCGGCAGATTATTCTAGAAGTCGCTTCATTCCAGAACCAGGTAAGTCAGGGACTGATGCTCTGGAAACCTTGACAGTTATAGAAACACTTCATTGATGCTACTGGTTGGCTATGGGAAAGATTTGGCTCGTTATCATCTTTGCTGGGTGTCACATTGTTTGCTGCGATGATTGATGCTACGAAACTACTGCAGAAGAGAAGGTTTACCAGAGGAGGCTAAAGATGTTTTTGTGATATTAATATTTCTTTCAGTATTTGTCTTGCTCGGGATACTGGGAATAGAATTTGATTTTTTTTCTTGGAAGCTCTATTTCTCAAGGAGGCTTGGAAAAGGAGCGAATTAGCTGTAATCATATATTGCATGCCAAAGGGGAGTGAACTGCACTCGGCAGCAAAACGGCTTAATGAGGATGCCCTTGGCAGAGGCAGGACTCAGTGCTGGGTGTATTCCGAAAAGTAATTATAATTAACGGTTTACTTTTAAAGGTGGGAGAGTCAGAGGGTCAGTCTAGGACCAGATTATTCGGGTCTCGTTCCAGTGACACCAGAGGAATGTGGAGTAAAGGCAGCTTGACAAGAACATCCCCTGGTAGGGGTAGGGATGATCTGATGTATCTGATCATATCTCTTAAGTCCATTTTCCTTGGGGAGCACAGCCACATGCTGCAAAGGCAGCTGTTCCCATTGCTTCCCTTGTTTGTATTCGGTGGGCGCTTCTGTCAAATTAAGCCCTACTCCTTGTACTGATAGGGCTACTTCGCAGCTCTTAATCTCTCCCTGCAGGAGCCTTTCAGCTGTCAGCTTCATCCAACCTGCTCTCCCCAGCTGATTTTTCACTAAGCTGGCCAGTTCTCTACTGGCCTCCTGGCCAGTTGCTGCTTGCTTTTACCTGCAGCTCGCTTCCTCCAATCATCTTTACATTTAAACTCTCCTATCAGAAGTGACATCAATACTTAGGACCCCGTGACTACGGAGAGTCCGTAGGATTGATCACATTCCAGTCTTTGAACAAGTTACAGCATGCCAAGGGATGACACTAGCTGCCTGTGGAAGTGGCCCTGGTCCGTGACAAATGCAAGGAATGCACCTTCTTTCATGGTGGGTTAAGCTAAGTCACATTTCCCCAGATTTGCTGTGGGCTAAGAATATACACGAATACTTTTCATAGATCAGTGCATGTGCTGCATCTTGTTAAGCCACGGTAACTTGATCATACTTCTGGAATCCCTGGGCACTGGAAAATCATTCCTTCATGCAGTGGAGATTCTGCCTGCCTGCTGTGGAATGTGTGCTCCTGTGCATTAGCCACAGATAAATCACAGTGTCTCATGCTCAGTAAGGAAGGAAAAGGAACAAAATTTGTTTTGTAAAGCAAAGCCAGGCTTTGGAAATGACAAATTCCTGGAGAGGGATCTCTTCCCTTGCCCTCTTCCCAGATTAATGGCACATACCACATGCTGCACCTTGTTGCCTTGCTCCAGTTATTGCCTTGCAAGCCTTCAGGTGGTGACTCATTCGTGCTGTGATATTTATGCAAACGATACATTCTTCAGCGCTTACCAGTCTGATTGCTGTCTATCATGCCCTTTTTATCAATAAATACTATTCCTTTAACCCTCGCTACAGTATTTTCTCTGGTGGCACATTTATGCTTCAGTCAGAACAACTGAAATTTTTCCGCTGAAAAAGTCTACGTAATTGTTAGATTTTGTATGATTTTTAATGCAGATGCAAAGTGACAAACCCTGCTCTGTGCTTTCCTCTTAACAGCAAAAAACCTCCCTGTTGGTCTCCTTCCTGAAACCCAAAGACGGAAGGTCAGAGATCCTCGGAGGTTCTCATCTGAACAATTGCACCAGCTGGGTAGAGTCCGAGGGGAATCGCCTGCAGAATCGCCTTCCTCAAAGCCAGCCTGAACACCCTCTGCTGTTATGGCCTGAGGAGCAGGGCAATTCCCAGTCTGATGTGAGTGTCTGCAGAAGGAGGACTCGGGTCTGTGTGGACTGAGATAGACATAGAGGGAGCGCTTACAGAATACTAGCTAGCTATGTACATCTGGTCTATCAGGTTCTGGGCTTTAGTTATCACTAAATAAATAGCTGAGTATCAACAGATTATTTTCCTTTTGCATTGCGTGCCCTACTTTCCTTGGCCTGCCCTAAATTGTGCGTAAGTTTGGCACATGGAGGCTCACTGGAATGTAGGTGTATTTTTCTTCATCCTTATCTACCTGCAAGGTCACTGTAGCTTTGCAAAGGCATTAACCAGGGTGCTGTTGGAGTGCCTCACCTTGAGATAACAAGGCATAAAGGGCTGAGCAGGGATGAAGAGCAAATACTGCACAGGGTGAATTTTGCCAAGTGTTGAAGCTGGTGCCCCTATGGACAAATGTTGCCCTGATGAACCTGGCCTTACCAAGCGCGGCTCAGGACCGTCCTGCTTTGCATGTGTCCTTAGTCATAGGTTTGGGGCTTGGTGCGGAGAAGCACCAGGCAGACAGCAGTAGGAGGAACTTCAGGTGTTGGTTCGGGACGTTTCTTCCTTGTGCTGCCAGCTGAACGGTCACCACTTCAGCAGCTCAGAGCCAAGTCTGCACGGGGCACGTTGTGCCAGACCTCCCTTAGGGGCACACTGCCCTGCAGAGAGGGCTGGAGGCACCATCAGCCGATGGCAGGATGTCTTACAAACCTGAAATCCTAGCAGCAAGCTCTGGAGACAGACAGCAGCAGAACTGGGTCCAGTTCCAGATCCCTCCTTCCCGCAGTGAAGCCACAAAAAAAAAGGCGGGGGGTGGGATCAACCTTTTTCTTCCAGTCTGCAGATCCTTGGTTCCTCTTTCTCACGAGGCTGGCTAACGGTGGGGTGAAGTGGTGGTGATGGCAGTGGTGACATGGTCACCAGGAGCACTGGAGCTCTCATTTGCCCGTGGCACCTACTCAAAAGAATAATCAGGGACAGTTAGTGCCTTCCTTGCAGAAGTCACCTCCGTGCACCCTGCCAGGATGAGGGGTGAGACCACAGACAGAGTGACAGTGTCTGGCTAATTTGTTGATGCCAAATGTGTTCATTATCAGCCTCTCAGTATCAGATAAGAGTCTCTAAGAGCTGGTCGGCCGCTGTGGGCATGATGCTTGCTGGCACTGTCCAATGGTGTGACGAGGGCACAGAAAGCCCGTGGGAACCGACATGCAGTGAAATGAGGAGATGCTCCATGTCAAAGGCCAAGTCCGTGCCGTTGCATTCAAATCCCACAGTAACCAAGTCTTTCTTCTCCCTGGCAGCGGGAGTCCTGACGTATCCTGCACTTTGGGGTGTTCCTGCTCCAAAGGAGGAAACACAATGTTCTCCCCACCTTGCCTCCCTGCACTGAAGCCCTTCAAGCAAAGCATCTCTGAGGCAAAAGAGGGGCAGGCCAGAGCAACATGTGTTCCTGACCCATATCTTTTTCTTTTAGTATTATCTGATCAGCCCTGGAGCTAATAAATAAGTATATCCAGCAGCCTACAGCAATAACAGACTGGCTGAGTTACAGGGAATGGTATTCTGTGAGCTGAGGAGTCAACAAAGGCAGAAAAAAAAGAAAAAACATAAACAGTCTCCCAAAGAACTCATTGCATATTATTAAAAGGCAAGGGAATTTAAATATTCCTTGAATGTTCAGCATAAGCATTTACTCTTTAAGGAGTCTGCATGAATGGTAGCCATGAGCTTAAGCAACAGCCAAGCATCTGGTGTCCGGGTCTCCCACCTCTGCTCTAACCACATCTATTTCTCCTGCATGTCACAGGGAGTTGTATTTCCTTTGTCTGTCTGGTTGGTTGGATGTGGGCTGCAAGCACTGGGAATTCCTTGGAGAAGAAGCTCTTGCTGTTGAAAAATGTTAGTTAGATCCAGGATGGTGTCTCTGATAGGGTGTGGAAGGGATTAGTCACCCCAGTGGTTAGGACACTTGTAAAGGCCAAGGGACATCAGGTTCAAGTCACAGCTGAGCATCGTTTAAATTTGGAACTAGAGTCTTATCTCCCATAAGCCCAGTGGACCTAGCTACTTCTTCAGCAATAGATCTCAGTTGTAAAGCGCTTAAGTTGATTTCACTTCTTTTTGGGGAAAATTCTCATTCACTCACGGAAAATATGTCTCCTATGGAGGAAAATGTTCAAGAAATTGCCCTGTCCCTCTGCATTTGCCATGCTGAACCACACCGATAGCATTTTGTGTTGTAATTACACTCCATTCCTTGCCTACATTGCGTACTGGTTCCCCTTTGGGGTTTCACCCACCCATCAGCCATACAGCACATACAAGCCATCTTCAGCCCTCACTCACTCAAACAGTTGGGATAGTGATGACTGACACTACCCTTCTTACCCTTCTTCTTTATTTATATATTTATTTATTTATTTATTTTATTTTAAAGAAAGAGATAAAGAAGGAAAAGCTGCCTTAAACACAGCTACATTTGCAGGTGAGCAGTGGCAAAATAAAGATCTCTGGAAAGTTCATCCATTGACTCCCTACCATGAAACCAAACACGTGAGCTGGGTGACGACGACCAAGATGGGCCCCAGGCAGCGCTGCGTTAATGCTGAGGACACTGCAGCTCCTGATGGAAGAACCTCAGCCATGACCTGCAAATTTCTATTTCAAATTTCTGAAAATAAGTGGCAACTATGGAGAGGGACCAAGAAGAGCCAGCCCCATCCCTCCTTTTTGTAGTTGGTAGACCTTCATGCAAAGAAGCAGGCTGATAATCCCGGATTTTGGGTTTTTTTTTTTTCCAGGGGTCACAATTGCTGACAATTTCCACAGTTCATCACCAAACTGGGGCAGCTTTGAGCCAGTCACGCTGGCCAGGAGAGGTCTGATAATCATTTCAAACATTTCAAATTGTGGTATCTTTGCGACAGCACTGCTAGTGTTTATACATAATTCAACAGTCTTGCTGACAGTCTCCTGAAATCTTCACATTGAAGTTCTCAGGCCCCCTGAACAACAATGCATCATTAATTCAGTCGCTGCGCCCAAACCACACCTCGAGCAAAAACCTGAGTAAACAGATAGGCTTGTAATGTGTCCTCAAAACCAGCGCATTCCTGTCTCATTGCTGTGTCTGCTCCACAGCCTAGCAGAGGAAGTGAATTCCACGGCTGCTGCTCCTGGAGAAAATCTTCTGCTCCAGCCACCCACGTTAATGGCCAGGGTTTTCAGACACGAGGGGCTTGAGGTGCCTGCTTTCTGAGAAGGGCTGTGCGTCTTCCTGGGGAAACAGGAAGATTCTTTCTCTGAAGAATCTCAGGTCAGGCAACCAAGAGTGGAAGCATCAAAACCACCTAGTCATGCACGTAAATCTTAGCTAAGCCCTGGGTGTTGCTAGACAAAATTTGCCTGATGATATCAGCCATAAGCAGTGTCTCCAAGGCAGCTTGGCCCATATCACCAAGGAGGTTTTGTGCAAATTCCTTTGAGACAATGTACTTTGAATGCAAAATGTCTTTGAGCCTTGTACCGAATATAAAGCCCCATGTGACCTTTAACTGCTGACAAGTGTTTTGAAGCAGCCGTGCTTGGTATTCAGTCACAGTGAAGTTTCTTTAGTGAGAACAACATTCTCTGGGAGCGTAAAAAGAATCACTTGACTGATGTTAATAAACTGATGGGTTAGAAGTTGGAGGAAATCAGAGGCTGCAGCACTGCTGCCGAAATGGCTCGTAAGGCTGGGAGAGCTGCTCTGCGCATCGTGTCAATCTCGTCAGCTAACTGGGAGGAAGAATCTAATTTATGCTGAGGCTCAACATGATGAATAAGACATTTCCCTGGATGGGAGCAGGAAGAACTCTTTGAAACACATTGGACAACTCAAAGAGTGCCTTTTGGCATTGAAAAATAAGTGTAGAGAAAAAAAAGAAGAAAAAAGGGTTCAGTTTTGAGCCTGATTTGCTCAACTCTGTTCAGGAATTTCATTTCATCTTTATTCTTAGAAGCCTGTAAATCAGGATTTTTTTTTTCTTTCAAAAAGGCATATGTGTTAAAAGTAAATTGGCATGAATATCATTATTCCGTGTTGGACTTTTGCGTTCTGCATCAAGAGGGGCTAGTCACAATGGTTTGTGATTACTGTCTGCCAAAATGTAGATGGTGGATTTGAAATACAGTATTTCCTTGGTGGATTCTCAAATGTAGGCCATTTCCTTGGTAAAGCTTTCTGGAAGGAGATAGCTTTTAATCTCAAGTTCTTGTTCCCATCAAATAGAGGAAAGAGAAAGTAGGACTACTGGTTTTAAATGTTGCTGGTTTATATCCTACTGCAGATAATATTCTGGTACAATAAGACTGCAGATGAGAATGATGTATGATGTATGAGCCCGGATTTTTAGGGCTGTGAGAAATGATGACCCGTTCAAAGAAAGAACCATGTCAAACACCAAGTGTCAGCCTAAGGAGTGATTAATGATTTCACCACTGCCCTATCACACAGGATTTGTCACATGGGGAGTCCTCAAAGGCTGTTGACAGCCTCTCTATGCTCTCTACATCACGACATGCATCCCGAAGGCAAAGTGAAGTAGTCTGCTCTCCGGGTGAGCTTGAACATCCCTGAACTTTAGGAAATTTCAGTTCTGGATCTGGATCCAGATTGACTGCATACCTGAGAGACAGGGTACCAGCTGCCGGGGACTGGTGTAAAGCTCAGTTTGTGCAACCCAGAGGTTAATAGTGAGTCCCAGCAACTCTTGGGGCCATAGTTTAGGAGGAGACGTTGACCTGAGTTGCGAAAAGACAAGATGCTGAAGGGTGAAATCTTATTAATCTCAACCTGCTAGAGAAACACATGTCAGAGGGGAATATTAGAATTTCCTTGCCAGTGGAAAAGCAGGTCCTGCCTTCCCCAGTCCCTCGCAGTACATCTGCATGGCACAGTGAAGTCCTACAGGGAAGGAGCCACCTGCCCAGCGCAGACTGCCCTGACCCAACGTTGTACCTGGGCTGGCATGCCCGTGGGGCAGGTTAGCCAGAGAAACCTGCAGAGGAACCTATTTGAGCTACCTGATCTTCTCCATGACACAAAAGGAGAATGCTTTCCTTTGCAGACTGGCTTTTTGATAAGATTACTATTGCTTCTGATTCCAATGGTGCATGGAAATATCACAGCAAGCAGAAATGCAGCAAAGAGAGGAGTACGCATGATTGAGGGAAGAGCTTGTTTGTTAAAACAGACCAAAATTCACCTGTGTGGAAAAGAAAGATGGTTCCAATTTACCTCACCTGTAGCCTATCTCAAGTACTTAGGAAGGGAATGCTGTGAAATAGTTAAGGCTAAAGGCTCTGTGGTGCTAGTGTTGAGCCTTGGTGTACATCCTTCTTGTCTCTCCCGGGAGTTTGAGCCTCTTCCAAGCACATGCTCACATCAATGGACAAGTGTGGGACCCTGGCACCAGGGGTGCACAGGTATGTTTGCTTCTGGGCATTTGGGGGGTTTCATGTTTTTTTTTCCCCCATCGCTCTTTTCTTCACTCAAACTTCATGTCTTTTCATCACTCATGATCCCTGTTTGCCAAAATGATGGGGCTAGGTTGCTATGTGGAAAATAAGCTTTAGCTGTGAGTCCAGTTGTACTCTGCATTCATGGTGATACAAATGGAAGGAGGAGCTGCTTTTATACACGTAGTTTATCCCTTTCTCTGCTTTATTGTCCTTCGGATGCATTAGGACTAGATTTATTGGTGTATTATTTAATTTGACCTTAGCTTCAGGCATTATCTGCTCTCATTCTATTTTTAACAAACAACCTGAACTTTGTATATTATTTCTTGAACTAAAGGCTCAGGCCTCCCTGCTGTCATATTTGTGAGTGTTTTGCAATCTAAGGCTTGAAAGATAAAGCCATTAACCCAAGTCCTGATGATTTCATGGTTAACACCAAAGAATTACGGGCAATGCATCACACTGTATCTCGCATCAAGGGCATGGAAATGTTCCTTCCTGTGCCAGAGCTGACCAGTTATACCCGGAACACATCCAACACCTGATGACAATCCTCGGTAGTACCAAAGGAATCGGTATGGGCATGAATCGTTTGGTGTCATTACCAGCAGGCTCTGAATCCCAGTGGATTCAGAGGAGGCTGACACACTTGGTACCAAAATCCTCTGCTTTGAGTTTTTCCTGAGAGCTGGTTTGGCAGCTGTTACGAGCTACAGGACTTTTTACCCAGCTTTCTGGGTGCCACCTGCACACCATACTCCTGTGCTGGGGAAATCTTCTTCAAAGAAGCTCTTAGCAAGCACAGAACCCACCTCCCTTCCCACTGTGCCCACGGAGGGTAGAAAAGCAGGGAAGGCCCCACTGAATCGGGATGAAGTCTGTCCCTTTCTACGAGGAGGGGAGGGATTGGGGGCTGCTGTCTGGGGCAGGTTGGAGGGCCTCCAAACTGACGCTGATTTCTTGAGGCACCTCGCTCTGACCTGCCAGGTATAATCTTGGCAAGGCAAAGGGATCCAAGTCCAACAAGAGTGAGGCTAATCTGCAAAAACACCTCCTTAGAGAGCAGGGCTTGGGCTCTCCAGGCCTGCTGCCCATCTCTTGGAGAGGGACAACTCCCCTGGAGAGCAAGCAGAGACACCTCCTTGGAGCGGAGGAATGTGGATCTCTGGGCACGCGTGCTCCTACAGTAGCACCACGCGACCCAGCTCAGCATCTTACTGCACTCTCGTAATTGCACCCGTAAGCCTGGAGGTTGCTGGAAGCTGCCTGATTACCTAGGTATGCTGGCTGCCGTAGCCAGGAGGTAAGGCGCAGTAGCATTAGTTCAGTGGGAAGGTATGATTAAGTCACCGAGCTTTATGAGGAATGATATAGCCACGAGGAGTGAGTCATGGCTGCAAGTGAAATGCATCTGAACCAACAGAGAGAGAAACGGAAAGTCGCTGTCTCTGCAGCCCAGGTCCCTGGCTGAGTAGCACCGTTCTGAAAGAAATGTGAACTGGAGCTCACGGACCAAGAGAAAGCCCAGCTGCAAGAGAGCAGCCTCGCTGGGAATTAACCGAGCTCAGAAATAATATATAACTCTATAACTCTAACAGCACTGGCTCTCTTTAAATGCTGCCTTGGAAAAATAAATCATTTTAGTCCACTCAATAGCTGACAAGGCTCATCGGTGCCTTTAAGCTGCGTGTTGCCCTCTCTTCATGTCCTTAATATCTGTTGTACTGTATTTGTACGTTGTACAATGCCACTATGCTCCCAGCACTGTTTTTGTGGTTATGGTTATAATGACTAACTAGTGAGGTGCCTTAGCCAGAGCGGTGGCGGTCTCCATCACTTAATACAAGAACCTCAGCCTTCTCTAGCCCATGGGCAAGTAATACGCTCTAAGTCCAGCTGTATTTGGCTTTCTCTGCCAATCTGGGTTGAAAGTGGTGACAAACTTGGTGTATTCCCCCAATCTTGAATCCATGAGTAACACCAAATGATTTTGTGGGCAGTGTGCTGTGAATCCACAGCTTAAACTTCAAAACAACATTGGGTGGTTTCTCTACAAGATGGTCTTGCTCAATGAGGAGCCTGTGGCAGGCAGTGGCCCTTTATATTGGACAGGCAGTCATTTTGTCCCTAAAAGCTATGAATTTTTGACAGTGGTTGATCACTTGCTGTTCACAACACACTTATTTCCAGTGTTTCCCAACTTTTATTTCAATTTCTAGCCACTGGAAATTTGAACCACACAGTCATCTGTGCTAATGTGTCACCACCCACCCCAACTAACATTGCAAACAGACTTAGTTCTGCTGTTTGCTGGCAGCTCAAGCTCCTCTTATGGAAGATGTCATTAGCAAGTGCCTCCTAGTCACTTAGAAAATAAATCTTTTTAAAGACTTTGCAAATCTACTCTAGCAGTGTTGATTTGAAACAATTGGTGCTGGCTGCACTTTCAAAGAGCAGTGAAACAAGCTCTTAATAGGCTTGGGATCCCTTCAGCATTTCTGGGCACTTGTTTCACCACAACCCCATGAAAAACAGGATATGCTTATATGCCAATACTTCAGCCTGGGAATCAAATCCACACTGGTTCTGCATTGCAGATGTAAAGTCAAGGGGCACAGTAAAATCATAGCGTGAGGGCACAGTCCTGCACAAAAGATGCTCCGGTTGCATAAAGGCCAAGTGAATTTCTAGAGCAGAGCATAATAAGAGCTGAAAGAAAGAAAAGTACAGAGGACAACACTGAAAATAAGCTTGATAAAATTAAGAAACCTAAGCTCGTTCCCTGTTTCGTTGATAGAATTTTTCCTAGAATGATCTCATAACAGTTAGACAAATAAATGCCTCACTGCTGGAGAGATGACCATCTGTCTGCCTTTCCCTGCCCTCCCGCTTGTGCTGCTTTTTCCATTAGTACTGGTGCCTTCAGGGCCTCTTTAAAGAGAGGCAAATAGGTTATGCAACGACATGTGCCGCACGCTGCAGCTGAGCACGGCATGGGATGTGGTCACCATAGACTTTCAGAGGCATCTCCAGAGGCATCCAAGGCGTGCATAGGGGCTGCTTACATGGGAAACACTTTCTCTGGGGGCCCAAAGTCTCTTTTCGTGCACACAGTGATAGTATCTACCTTTTCTGTGACACTTTCTGATAGTCCTCAAAGCCTTTGCTAAATGTGAGGTGGCAGCAATGATTCTTCATCATGATGGTGAACCAGGGAAGTAATTTGGGTTAAGCTACATGACTAGGCAGACCTGCGAATGCTCTAGGAATGAGTGTTTGATAACGGGAGCTCTTGGAGGTTTCATCGCTGGGTAGCTCGAAGGAAGAGAGATCGCTTTATGCCTTCTTGTGGGCGTGTGCCCTTAAGGAGAGTTTTAATGATTTGCCCTTTGCTCTGGCATGATGGGGGAAGGGGAAGAACTTTCCTTCTTCCCATAGAAAGGGATATCTCCTTTTTCCCATGGGACTACTTGAATGATAAAGGCAATTCTTCCTTTGCTGTGTGCCCCACTATGAACATGACCTCGGTGGAGACAGCCTCCATTTTTCTTCTGCATTTAGGATTGTTTCAGATTGTTCTGTATTAAAATGCCACAATTTCTAGCCCCTTCAGCCATGCTTTTCATATCATCCCACTGCTTTTTGGTAGAGGAGGTAAAGCAGAGATCCTAACTGAGAATAAGCCTGTCCTATGGTGAATGACAGCTGCTATGTGAGGCATAAGTTCTCTCCAAGTCAACTTCTTGACTCGTGGTGTCAATTTATATAGTGGAAAATATTTATAGGAGACAGGATACTCGATGGCAGATCTGTAGGTGAAGTGCTGGGAATCTAGATGATCTTCCACGGAGTTCTATACAGAGAAGATAGTCAGTTAAGCTGCTGTATTCTGTCTTCTACCTAGAATGAAATCCTCTCGGGGTGCTTGTCCCACATCTCCCATTTCCTCTGCACCTTCATTTCCCAGCAACCAATGTCTTGATCTCTCCCATAGATGTGACAATGTTCCAGGGGCCAGGTGAGGTGTTCTGGAAATCCTGATGACCAGAGTCTCCCCTCTAATTAAACACCAGTAGTACAAAGCTAAGTCAGTCCCACAAGAGGCAAGACTTCTAAAAAGCACCAATCCTTCAGATGTTGATATGCGGGAAAGCACACTACAGGGCTTAATAGATAATAATCTCCTTTACTTTTCTGAAACAGCCAACTGAGGTTCACAGACAGTTCTAGCTCTGTCCCAGATTTAAAGAAGAGCAGGTCTCATTTCTCATACAGTTTCTGGGTTTTCAGGGTCTTGATAATTCTCTGAAAACATGCCTCACTTCATTCTTGCTAACTTCTCTGGGATGTTACTCCCATCTTCCCGTGTCTCCTCCTGCCCAGATATCCCCTGCACTGTTCAGTGCAGATTCCATACTACACTGCCCTCTCATGGAGCAGCAGGGATTTGTTGCTCCTGACTTTCCCTCTGTCCCTGGGAAATGGGAAGAGGGAGGGATACTAGATGTTGAGATGTGGGGAGGTTGTTTTGGAAAAGGAGGGGGGATTCTTGCCTAGAGTTCTCTCAAGAGAAGTGACTCGTGCAGCAAAGATCCATCCCTCTATAGCAGTTCCTTCATAATTTCTATAGCAGTTCCTTCATCTAATTCTTATTCTGAGAATAAGAGAGTTCAAGTGGCCAGAACCACCAGGTTGGGAGATAAAACGGATACAGGCCTTGTACCAGGAGTGGCACAAGAGAAGAATCACCTAATAGATGGTAGCACTTGAGGAGAAAGGGCCGTATCCTGGAATGCAGTAGCGAAGGCTGGCAAGCTCTTTGCCAAGTTGTCGGGCTGCTAACTGCAAACACGCTGTCTCCCTTGTTTCAAAAAGATGATGTTTTGTCTGACATCTGTAAACCTCTGACCACAAAACAGATTGTCACAAGTAACGGTGTCCTTCCAATATGAATTATCCTGTAATCCCAAGAAACGTGCGAGATGTCTCTCAACTGAAGTCCCAGCACTGGGAGAGCAGCCCTGCTGCCCGCACTGCTGGGACTGCAGCTCTTCTCTGTGCGCAGGGGTCTGTCTGCCTGGTATCTGAAGTGGGAAGATGACCCCGGTCCAGGTGATACCTGTTCTTCTTAGGGACAGCTGGAGCTGCTGCTGCAGGAAGGGCAATGCGTAACGCTGCCTCCAGCTGATGCACGGTTTGCGTTTGCCAAGGCCATTTCCTGCTGCTAAGGCAGGACAGAAAGAGTTGGCAGAGGAAAGGAGAGAAAACAGTTTCCTTCCATCGGTAGCTTTTCAACACTTTTTATTTGAATGGGAAGAGTTCAAGAAGCTCAAGTTCTCTAGAAGCTCTTGAAGCCCTGCGACAAAGCAGCCTCTGCTTTCAAAACCGAATTCTCCAACTGCTGCCTTAGCTGTCGCTTTACATTTTTGTAGCTTTATGCTGTAGGAAGGGGAATATCAGCTGCTCAAAAGGCAGGTTTTATTAAAGCTTTCAGACTGGGCATCTTTGACAGCCCTTCTCCCGATGGGGCTAGTATTTTTTATTGATGTAATGGGAAAGCTTCTTTCCCCTCAGATGTCTTTTTAATATGTCTTGTCTCATTCTATCATGGAATTAGAGAAATGAAAGACGGAAAACACCTGTGAGGTCATGAGAGCCCTGCCTGTGCTCAGCAGGGCTGAATCGGAACAGGCAGATCCATTACAGCCCCGCCACGCTTCATGCAGTAGCCACCAGTCCTGTGCTTGAAACTGAAGAAAGTGTTTAATTCGGGTACAATGCAAAATATCCTTCATCTCAGCTTTGGTTCCCTAAGAACTACTAAAACCTATAGCAAGGTAAGGCAATTCCCTCTTATTTCAAGAATCTCATGACAAAACAGATGAATCTCTTGGAGGTTGAGAGACTGGGAGCTTTGATTACCTTATATGCCATTCTTATACAGATTTCTGCTTTTTCTGGGTTGTCAGAGTCATGTGGTGCTGAAGATCCGTCCCAAGAACACATCCTCCTCACCCCTGTACTGTAGGGGACTGAAATTTTCAGGCCAAGGTGGCTGAAGCCTCCTCAATTAGCTGGGGAGCAGTGACTTTTTGGGGTATAGAGTCACAAATCCCTGTTTTGGGCTGTATTCTGGTATCTTGTCCTGGAGAGGATGGCTTTCCAAGATGTGGTGATCTCTGCCTACCCTCTTGGCACAGAAGCAGAGGAGGTGATTCCTTTGTCACCTCACGTGAGTTTCATTCTTATGTCCTCTCTTATGTCTATAAAAATCAGCACTGAAATCACTGAACCCAACACAAGTGCAGGACTAATGTGGAAAAAACATGAAGACCAGAGCACAAGTTGCCTCTGCTCTGTGCAGGCAAAGCAGATGCATTTATCATCCACTGACTGAAAGTACTTCCAGGCTTCATCCCCACCCCTGTTTCACAGAAGGACATCTCTATAGGAAATAGGGTTACACTTGACCAGTGCAGCAGTGCCCCAAGGAAGGAATAATGCTCCAGGCCACGCTCATGCTCCTTTACTGACTTTCTGCTGTATATATGAGCGGTGCACAGAGCTGAGAGAGGGAAATAAACGCAGCTTTGCAATCGGAGTCCAGGAAAATGATATAATTCTGTGTTTTGCTTTAACTCTGTGATTATAAACGTACAGGCACCTACATGACTAATGCCAGGAGACATAATTCAAGTCACCTCTCCCACTGTAGGGGAAACAGAAAGCTGGAGGGCCTGCTCTTTAAAGACAGCCCTTAAAGGCTATTTTTAAACAATGACTCTTGCTTGGAATCCTGCCCCTGCTCCCGAGTCCCCGGGCACTGTTGAACAGTATAAACACCAGTGAAAGCCAGTTCAAAACCAAATCATTTCTGCACACACTATGCGAGGCCTCTGGGCCAGGTCCCGTCTTCCTCTTTCATCTGCGATGCTCTCAGGGTCTACAAGAGCTTCACTAGCAGCTTTCCATGGGAGCTGGTGGCACACGGGATGCTGACGTCTTCCATTAGCTGCTTGGGCAACTTCTGCCACTGTCAAGCTAATGTGTCCCTAAAATCACATTTTCCATGGCCCCAGCCCCCACTCTAGGTAGGCCCCCACTCTACCCTTCCTCTTCATGTCCAGCCAGAGTATCTCAGCATCGAGATCCTGGTCTCGCACCAACCCCTGTGTGTCAGAAACCTGCAAGCCCTCTCTAACATACCAGGAGTGCTGGGTTAATCTACTGGGTTTCCTCAGGCCCTCTCTGCAGAGGGGTAGGCGGGATCCAGCCTTCTGTTTGCTAACAGCTGAATGCTTCAAATTAAGTTGTTTTACAGGTAAGCTCAAAGGTAAGGTTATAAAGGAAACCTTTGGCCAAGCCAGGATCTAGACCTAATAATCCTGTCTCAGAACTGTATCTGGATCATAACATGCTCTATCTGCTGGTCTAAATCTTCTCTGGGAAGAATATTCAAAGCAAGGATCTGGAAAATCAAAGCTTAAACAATAAGATGGATCTCTAAAAATACCCTGTCCTGGTGTTATAACCCATGTTTGATAAATGCAAAGAAAATATTAATGCTGAGAGACATTAAGAAGAAAATAATGACTGACATCTCTCCCTTATCCTCAAAGGACCCTTCTTGTTAACTAGGAGGAGTGCTGCGAGCAAGGACTTAGGACTAACCCTGCTGATGTCTAGTCGAAACATCTTCCTTCGTGCTCTCCTCCGTTTGCATCTTGCTGGGAGGTGACCAGCTCCTCCTCCTCCCGTTGCAGCTGGCCTGGTCATGCTGCCCTCCCTTCGCAGTCTGGGGAAGAAAGAGGGTTATTCTGGAGCGCTTTCAAGGACCTGGGGAAGTCTCCTGCTGTGCTCTGCCTTGGCCTCTGCTTGCTGCAGCAGTGGCGAGGTGCCCGGCCGCGCAGCCGGGGTGATGCGACTCCAGCAGCGCCCACCTCTGCGCTGTGTGCTCTGCAGATATTGCCCTCAGGAGGCCTCAGCACCCTTCTGGGTGCAGCACGTGTGAATAAGTGACTAAAAATACCGACGTATTCAAAAGTGAGATAATTTCAGATGGCATATCCAAATGGTATTTTGAAATCTGAAGCCAATTTTGCTGGAAGATACATATTTGCCATCAGGAGGGAAAGGACTGAAATCTGCTGCCTGAACTCCCACAGCACAGGAAAGCAAGAAACACTCTGAAATCTCTTCTGAAGCAACTTCTGCTTTTCCCCTCTACAGATGAAACTCCTTATTTTCCTGTGCCTGTCATGTGTGAATGTTGTTATCAATGTTTAAGTCACACTTAGCTCCCAATTTAACTTAAAGAAAAAGAAAGAAAGAAAGAAAGAAACCCTCTTTAAAATGTTCTTTAAAGACTTTACCAAATAACTCTCCATCATCTGTATGTGTAAGTGGACATATACAGGCATGGATGTTCCACATAAGCAAAGACTTATGCTATTCCATGTAGATCACTAAGGTGGGCACTGACACACTGCCATGGACTAGCCACGATCCTGAGCAGAGACTTGTCCCAAACTGACGCTCCAGAAGAGAACTACTACCTATGCCTGTGCAGGCAGACACGTTTGCATTTATATCTTGGATTTTGAGAGTCATAGAACTGTAGAATCATTATGTTTGGAAAAGGCCTTCAAGGTCATCAAGTCCAACTGCAAACCCTTCAACACCAAGCCTGTTAAACCATGTTCCTATACATGGTGATATACATATTCCCTGAATACTGCTGGGGACAGTGATTCCACCTCTTCCTTGGACATCTCTCCTGTTGCAGCCTCTGAAAGAGCTGCCCATGACGAAATGTGGTCTTGCAGCCCTAATGCAGCACCTCTGTGGAGACCTCCCTTTCCTTTCTTTGATGGGAGTTTCAGCACCTGAGAGGAGCATGGAGGAGGTCTAAGCAGCTTTGTGGCTGAGATGAGGTGCCCTGAGCACGCTCTGAAGTTGAGGGACCGCCCGTTGGCTGTTAGGCACATGCAGGTCAACACACCTTGGCTCAAGCAGGGCAGCCCTAGGTGTCCGTGTGCCACGCGTGCGTGCGGCTGCGCTGCCCTGAAGGAGAGGGGACGTGGGGAGCACGGCCGCAGGGCGGCTGTGCCTTCGGCCGCAGGTGCTGAGCTCAAATTTCAGCCCAGATAAGACTGTGCGCACTGGCGGCTGGTGCGCCTTCTGTTCACACCCCGCCTTGCTCCCTGATAAGGAGCTTGTGCCCTTTGTCTCCCACCTTCCTTTCTTCTCTGGATAAGCCTGGTGTTGTTCTTCTTTCCCAGTCCAACAAGAGGGTCGAGCGCTTATGCTCCGACCCATTGCACCTTGATACAGAAATAGATATAGACCTTAGATGGAGGAACAAAGATGGAAAATCTGTTTATTCTTTGTGCCAGGGATACCTGGAAATGCATCTTAGTTCATTTTCCTTGGTTTCCCTGAAATCTCTCTCCGTTCTGAACTTGGTGCGAGAGTCGTTGGCTGATCTCCACTATTTGAGATGGCTCTGCAGATGAATCCTGCTGTGATGGTGTTGCAAATGCCAACACGCTGGAGGTATCCCATTATCTTGAGGGAAGATGACATTATCTCCTCTCATCATCATTCCACCGAGCCGCACGGTCTGTGGTTTGCCTCTCTATCCCCATTTCAAGCATGACTGCTGGGTGGTGGTGATAGTGTGTCTCCTGCTGTAGAGTGTCTCCTTTGTTTAAACTAGGTTACCAGATAAATAATATCTCTTGAAACCTGATTAGTATGAGAAAAATGAAGGAAGTAATTTAATATCTTTTCTATTGCTATGGAATTCAAAGGGTTTTCACAATATGTTTGATTTGCTTAGCAGTGCCATGGGACAAGAAAAGGAAGGTCCAAGCTGAATCTGCTTTTAACATATTGAGACCCTTGCAGTCCACCTACTCTGCAGACTGCAGAATGGCTGGAGACTCCTGAACTAAAGTAAAATGAGGAAATTTAGGCAGTGAGGACAACATAGTGAAGTCATTTAGAGGTCATAATCATGTTATTCTGCATTGTGACTATGGGAAGTAGCTTACACCATGACTTGGGAGACCACAGCTAAACTATTTCAAGTAACACAGCTAAACTATTTCTAATCTCCCGCTGAACTTGCTGTTACTGACTACCTCCACGGCCTGGAGTGGCAGCAGCCACCAGAAGTCTGATCTCCACTGATTCCAGAAATGTTTTCTGTTCTTCTGTTACCTCTTTCAAACACATCTCCTGACTGTTTCATTGAATGCCCTGTCTCCAACCAGCCCATCCAGTCCGAGGCTAGATTAGGTTTAGCATTCAACTCCTCCACCCTTTCACCCCTTCATGACTTCATGAACTTACTCAGAGCTGCCTTTGAGGACACGCTGCTCTGCCAGCTCTTTTCTTACTGTCTTTCTGTTATTTTAGCTCATTTAGAGAGAAGTCTATGGCCTAAAGGTCATTTCTTTACTCTAGATGGCAATTGCTCCAAGATGGAGTGTCTGTCTTTTCCTCCTGGCAAGTTGACCTTATCCTTCCATAGACATATTACTCACTTGTGCTTATGTTACTCAACACTAATAGAGATAATACATTTTCTTCCTCTGCACGTACACAAAAGCACTGAAAGTTCTCACTGCCAAAGATGCCCCAAACGCTCCCCTAGCTGGCATTCAAATGAGACCTGGTCTAGCCTGTCAACATCGTTTGCTTTTTAACACTCTCTGGCAGATGGTGCTGGCCCCAGAAGGCCTCTGATGTCCTCAGGGAGCTCAGAGCTGTTCATCACCTCATCACTGTCCGGCAAGAGCTGTCATCAGTGACCATGCCCAGCAAGCACCCTGGAAACTGCCTTCTGCAGCGAGTCACAGCTGAAAGAGTCGTGCGGCAGCTTGTGACGAGGGAGGGAGAAGGACTGTCTGGAAGGTGGATACGGGGGGAATTCAAAGGGAGATTGAATGACACTTGGTAAGCATAAAGCAGCCCAGGAAAAAGTGCGTTTCTAGCAACCACAACATGGACAAGGCCTCAGCTTTGAGCCATGTCCAAGCAGCCAGTTTATCAGGGGATTTAAAGGTTCTAACAGGCCTTAAGAGCCCTGACCTTCCTCTCCTTTAGGAGGGGCCTTCAGTCTCTTCCTGATCATTTCCTGAGCTGCGCTCTCCAAGTGCTCGTCTCCATCACAGCCATGGTCATGCCCGTGACCCTGTCCATAGACTACTGAAATGCACTTGCAGCCTGACCTGGGGTCTGTCTCATCAGTATGGAGCGTCCCAGCTGGAATGTGTATGGGATGGTGCATGACCCTGTTTGCTCTCATCAAACATGACCCTTACTCATGATTCCATCTTGACCACGGACCTGCCTGATCACTTTGGACTCTTCTGATCATCTTGATGGTCCCCAGCTACCGTCTCTGGGTCTGCCCTTCTCAGGCGCTGTGGGACCCTAGCTAGCAGGACTCCTGCCCCGACAATTGTGTGATTGCACCTGGCTCCTTCTGCCTTCGGGTGCAGCCGGCCCTGGCTGCTCCATGGCTGTTCCTAGTGTGAGCGTTTCCAAATGGCCACAAGGAGACAGTTATTTGGCACCATAAACTTTCTAGCGACCACTGGAGCCCAAAGCTTCAGTGTACAACAGAACTGACACTGAATCATCCCAGATCACCCGTCCATGGGTGCTGGCTCACTGGGACATGAGGTGCTCTGAATACCTGCGTGTGCAGGCCAGGGGGTGGCTCCATACAATCAGTTCTAGCAGATTCTATTCTCATGCTTCTGTGCTCTTAAATTTTCAAATAAGCAATATTTTCTTTGAAAAAAGGTTGCTTTATTATTATTTTAGAAAGGAGAAACAGTTTTCTGGACGCATCCATTTATATGGGTTTTAATCTATCAAAAATATTTTGTAGATAGTCTTCCTATGACACTCAGTGTCTACAAGATTTAATTATGAAGTCTTCAAGTATGAAATTAAAATGTCTCAGAAACTAAGGTCAAAACACATGACTGGAAAACTTTGTCGGGCATTTCTACATATGTGGTCTACACTTTCTGTATCTAACTCTTACTTTCTGTTAGGGCAGTGGATATATGAAATATTTCTTAAGTGCCTCCTGACACCTTCGATCCCCTGCAGACAGCGCTCTGTTCTGAGGACAAGAGAAGCACCAGTCTCCGTTCACCTTGTACACCCAAAGCAGGAGACCTAACTCTATGTTAGGCCTTGCAGCAACAGATCTGTCATTCTTGTGATTCAACTGTTCCTTATAGCTACCCGAAGGAATATGAATAATCATCTGGTATTTCCATAACCTTCCTCTGACCTGCGTGCTATTTTTACCCGAGCGCCTCATCTTCCCTGCGTGATGTGGATTCCCAGCACGGCAGCTCGTTGAGCCGGGGGCAGTCCTGGCACGCGGACGTGAACGCGTGAGATCTTCCTTGTTTGCTCTTGAAGTGGGACGTGCCTTGCCACGTCCCTGGGGCTGGGCTCGCGGGGTCCAGCTTGGTGGGACCTCTCCCTGCTCCGGCGCTGCCTCTCCTGCGCGCCATGGGAAGCTGCGGACCGAGGAGGCCGGTGCCCAGGGCCGCGTTCGGAGCATCCTTCCGTGTCCTTCCCGTTCTCACCAGCTCCGTGGGGCAAGTGGGATGTGTGGGGCTCTCAGGCACTTTCCAGCGGGTGCCTAAGAGCCAGTGCCAGAGACCAGAGGCTCCCTCTATTCCAGGGGTGTGGAAGCACTGGTGCTTGCTGCATTTGCCTTTGTTTTACTGAGGGGTTTCCTCAGCAAGAGAATTGCTAAGAAAGAGAAAAACTCTGCATTATTTAGCTCGGGAGTTCAGGCCTAGGCCTAAGGCCTAACACATAGTTCATGTCTCTTCACTAAAGCGGTCTGAATCCACCTTTAGTTAAGATAAACCCTAACCACGGTGATGCTCAAGCAGGGTTTGGAGACAGGCGCCTTTCCTGACTGTGACTAGTGTTATAATTCCTGCAGATCCCTATTATCAGGCTTATAGATGCCATATTCCGTACGGCAGTGCTTCTCAGGCTTGTTGATAGCTGTGTTTTCACTTCCCTCATCTGCTGCCAGGGTGCCAAAACCTTCACTGGGTTCTGGGACTCTGAAAAGTTGAGTATTAGATGTTCTAAATTCCTATAATTAATCTAATTTAGCCACTTTACTGATTTTTTTCAGTAATTTAGTACCTGCTGGTATGTGGTTCTACTGGTATTCTCTGGTTTCTAAAATTCCAGCCATGAGCGCTGTTGTGGCCAGGGGAAGCAAAAGACACCTTCCCTGTGAAAATTTATGTCTATTTTTTTTTTCTCTAACAACTGGATTTATTTTAATGAACCACTTTAATATTTATAAATGTGGTGCATAACATCACCTGTTCATGTTGATGTTTTGCTCTTATTTTGCTCTCCAAATTACCCAGCTCTTAAGTATTTTGCAGCTGTAACCCTTCAGTAAAAGCCTCCTGCCCGGTATGTTTTAAAATGAAGAATACATCTACTGTATAGGTATGAGAGCAAATGCACTTCAGAGTTCACTGAACTCCTGGTTTTGCTGGCACAGAAGAAGATTAAAGGAACAATCTGTTCCATCTACATGTGTCGTAACACAGAGGTC